TGAAGGATCCCAAACACATCCACATGTGTCTACAAGGCACTTTGAACTTGTGTACACTCTAATAAAAACATTGCCTGGTCTGAATTTATATCAGCTGCCCTAACAGAAAATAATGTGACCTTTATAGTTTTTCCTCTCATCTTATTCTTTCTCTGGGCAGCCAGAGACTTAGAGCTAACCTCTCAGTGATAAATCAAGTAAACAAATGTGACATTCAAAACGTCAGCTCGACAGAGCCAATAATAACAAGAACCCTTCTCTTGGGAGAAATATATTTAGGAAAACATTGTAAGTACCTAGGCTCTGGAAATTTTGAAATAGTTTCATGATATCATGTGTTTTTCCCAATTCAGCCAGGTGGGACTGACTAAATTTATAACCCAGAGTGAGGAAATTAACATGTGAGTAAACTGATTCAAATGTCTTAGAGGCAATAGTGAAGACCCCCTTTTCTCTCTCCAAATACTCGAACAATTACAGATTTCTTGAAAGCATAATAAGCCAACTTTAACTTTCTCTGAGGAGAAACTAGGTATTCTAGACATTAGTTTCAACTTCTTACTTCTACCTAAGAGTAGCTTTACCTCAGAGAAGGCCCTGAACTCTGAAGCATGCCAATATTTTGTGGTTAATCCACTTCTCTTATGAAATAACAATACTTCTTTTTATGGGGTGAAGGCATTACACCCTTAGAATAGTCAGACATTGATGGGCCTAGAGTTTAAAAGGATATATAGCTTTTTGGAGACTGGATGGTGGTACATCAGTAGAGCATGACACTCTAGGAGATTGACTCATGTCAAAAGATTCTTGATTTGGTTCTGGAGGTCTCCCTGAATACCCAAGGCCTGTGAATGCCCACAATCTGAGCTTGGCTGACACTGGTGGTAGATCACAACATCAAGATCTGCTGGGGTTGTTAGCTCATGGGACAAATTTTTAAAATGGTAGCTTTAGATTTCAAGAATTATAGCTATCTTTTACTGAGTACCAGTACTCTGTGTAAAGTTATTATATACCAGAAACACTTCTTTGGTCTATTTTTTAGCTTTACAACACTCCTATAGAGAAGGCATTACTTTCTCCATTTTTCTAAGCCAAGAACACATACAAAAAGATAAAGTACCTAGGTCCCGGCCGGTCTCTGCAGAGCAAAGTCTTCTAGCCTGGAGATCTGGTCATGGATTCTCATTTGGAGCTTTTTAGTTCTATCTGAACAAGTTCAGGTGAGCCCTTAAATTTACTCACAACTCCTGCTTCCTAACCCTTCACTGTTTCTGATTCTTCTGCATATTTCAATTTATTCAGATCCCTTTCGTACAACTGCCTTGACAGTTCCGACATTCCTTTGCTTGCATTAATCATTAACATGATAAATTAAAGACAGATTTGCTTGATCAATTTGCTCCACATCATAATAACTGTGTACCAGTTTTTAGTCCATATGCATCATCACTCCCACCTCCCATCAGACTGATAAATTGTGCACAATTCTGCCAATTAAGACTTAAACTTGTTTGAGTCAAATTAATTAAGAAATATTTCCATAAGCCACAGTAGTTTAAACGTTCTATCACTCTAATTTACAGTGTCTCATTGCAAATACATTATGCTAAATTTACATCTTTTTTTATTCTCACATATAAAGTGTTAAAGAAATATAGTATAATGTCCATGAGATGCAGCCTAATAAGCTGTATTTGGAATAGTTTGGGAAAAACAATGTTTCACTTTTATTCTCAATGTAGTATCACCAGGCAGATAGTAGATGCTCAATAATAATTGCTCTCATGACTACACTGTGAGAACTGCTGGATCAAGGCCTGATGTTGTATATTTGAACACTTCTTAGGAAAAAAAATATTGTAATGAAAGCAATAATTATGGTTAGAAAAACATCACAGAGGTTTTTTTTTTTTTTCCTTTCCTTTATCTTCTATGAATATATACTTTTTAATGGCTTCTGAAGCTTTCAGAAATGTTGTATAAAAATTGTTCCACCAAGGCTAACCCCATAGCATAAATTTAACAGCTCTTCATTGGGAACCAAATCTCACATGGCTAACCATGGTCTGAATTCCAGCCCAGGTAGCTTGATAAACATGTCAGTCATGTGTGCATGCATGCCAAAATTCTAGTAGAGGGAGAAATAGAAGAAAAAGAATTATGGCAACACTATGGTTGCCATAGTTGGGGATTCTCTCCCTCTGTCTCTCACTCTCTCTCTAACAGAAGATATGTGCCTTCTTTTAATAATAATAATAATAAATAAAAAGATTTCAGAAGCATCCATTCCATTACCTTTCTTTTCTGTTCGACTTTTTTTTACTCACCTGTGCTATAAGGAAGAATAATTCCTCCAGAATTAACACCAAAGATATTTTAAAATTCATGCACTTTTCAGCAAGCTGATCACTTTAATAGCCATATTGATGGTCAGGTATAATAGGCAATCTGGTCGTTGTCCTTACACAGTCTATCACGAAAGAATACTGCTACCTTAAGGGCATATTGAAACATAATCTGAAAATACTGATATCATTGATTTCCTTTAGAGGGATAAATTCATTTGAGGGGAAATGCTCCTATAAATCCTAATGGTAGCGTGGGCCTCCTTAGACAAGGAGAAATGCATTTCTGATGTTCACTTTGAGGTTGACTTGTCTTGTCTATAGCACTCACCTAGGCACGTTTCAGAACCTTTGGGAGGATATGCAGCTTGTGAGATAGTTGTGCATGAAGGTGAAATGTGCTACAATAGACACAATTAGTACCATTTATGATTATAGTTTATGGGATGCTGGCATCAGTTCATTAAAAATGTACTGAACTATCAACTCATTTCACACAGGTCATTGAACAGCAATAAAGTGGTATCAGCTCTTCTCCATTATGGCTCTGAGCTGGATTTGAACCAGTGGTTCACAGGAAATAGGCTCTGTTCTATTGTCAGTCTATAAAAACACTTTTATAGAGTTGCAGTATCTCTGTCTATCTATAGCATCTTGTTTCTAAATTCATTCCTTCTCTTTGAAATGGAGACTATCTACAAAGTGTAGTGTAGAAAGCAGAAGTTTTAGGCTTTATAAATTGATTATATTATATTTGTATAGTTTTATATATAATATATTTTGTTATTTATATAGTCATATTTTTATTAAATATTAATAAAGTGGTTACATGTGGCATAATATTGCAAGGTTTTTAGCTGTTAAAGCAGAATAAAAGTTAGGTTCAGTAGTAAAATACAAATTTACTCGTCTTATATAATTCCCTAAGGCTTAAATTTCCAACGCATACAGTTGTAAATAGCTCATGGATTACATCAGTTAAAAGAACATTTACCAAGCAAACTAAACAGTGATCTGTGCTTCAACACATAATTTTTTGTTATTAAAACATTAAGTTTATTGAAGTAAGCATATACACACACTTTAGATCACTTCTAAGAGTAAAATTGTACAAATAGATGCCAAAGTAATATTATCAACATTTTTCAACTGGGATACTGTATAACAGAAGACTGGTAGAGTAGTCCTCCTTTATCCAGGGAGAGAGGTTCCAGGCCCCCCAGAGGATGCCTGAAACCACAGCTAGTACTGAACGGTTTATTTCTTTTACATACATACCTATGATAAAGCCTAATTTATACATTTGGCACTGTAAGAGGAGCAGGATGGAGCAGGTGTGTGCAAGTTTGCATCACGCTACTCGGAGTGGCACACAATTTAAAACTTACCAATTGTCTATTTCTGGAATTTTCCATTTAATATTTTCTGGCTATGGTTGACTGCAAGCAACTGAAACCTCAGAAAATAAACCATGGCGATGGGAGTAAAAATGTAGTACTGGCTACTGGGCAATAATTACTTATGAATTTAATACATTTTTAAAAAGAGAGGGGATTTTGTTATAGGGCGTGTGCACTCACCGGAGAGGCAGAGAGAGAGAGAGAGAGAAATCACCCCCTGGAGGCATGGCCACCTCACAATCCCTTCTCCATTCTCCTCTTAGGATCTCGGACATGCACACACAGGTGCCTAGTGTGGTTTAAGCTGCCTGATCCAGTACTCAAACCATAGTTGCCTACATGGGAGTCTAGCAATGCAACCATTATGCCATCTGCTGGTCTCAATGATTTTAGTATCTTTTAAAGAAATAGTTTGTCATGTATATAATAGAAACTTTATAGAATTTGGTTGCTTAAAATAAGTTTAACTCACAGTTTCAGTACTTGTTTAGAGGCATTCAGATATAAAAGTTGCTCTTTAGGAGCCAGCAGGTGGTATAGTGGTTAAGGCACTGGACTCCCACATGGTGAACCATGGTTCGAATCCCAGACCCAGTGGCTTGAAAATCATGCTGGCCGCAAATGCATACATGTCCAAAATTCAGGGAGGAAGAAGGAGAAGGGATTGTGTTATGGCCATCCACATTCAGTCATCTGTGGGAGGGTGATTTCTCACTTGCCATCTCTCTGTCTCTCTGACTCCAGTGAGCATACATGCTCTACGGTAAAAACCACTAAGAAAAAAATACTAGGCAATAGTGGAGGAAATATATTGATTGCAAAAGTAAAAATATCAAGTAAACATAGTTCCTGGTCATTCAGAAGAAATGAAATAATGCTTTACATATGTATTTGTTCAAATGTATGAAACAGATATTTCTTTTTATTTAGCTGTTTTATATAATTTTGCTAACTAATATAAGTATACTTTTTTTTAACCCTTATTGTTACTCTTTTCAAAGCTTTAATTAGTTTTATGGTCTTCAATTACACAAGATTAAAATTATTATTTATTTTTTTGCATTTTGCCAACTGGACAATTCATAATAAGTTGTCAAATAATAATTGCTGGCTCTTAGTTTTGCACTTAGTTTTACTTCCTTTGATTGTACATTGTGTTGCTTGTTGCAAGTTTATAAGTTTTGTGTTCCGCTGTGCCTGTTTGTCTGGAAGGAGTGTTAATCGACATGTCCTGTGGTCTTCTTTGTAGTCGCAGCGCCGTGTTACCTTTCACCTCCCCGATGGCTCCCAGGAAAGCTGCAGTGACAGTGGTCTAGGAGACCACGAGCCGGTGGGTAGTGGAACCCTGATCTCACACCCTCTTCCTCTGGTTCAGCCACAGGACGAATTCTACGACCAGGCCTCCCCAGACAAGAGGACTGAAGCAGATGGCAACTCTGACCCCAACTCTGGTGAGTCTTCAAAACTTTTTGGATTGGAGTTGTGGTTTTGCTCTGTGCCTGAGCTTTAAATGTTGATCCTAGAGAGCAAGGACAAGGACATTTGGTTGTTTTGGTTGTTTTTTGGTTGGTTTTATTGTCGGTATTGTATTCTTTGAAATATATCAAGACTAGTGTGCTTGATATATTTACTGTTAAATTGAAATGATGAGGCTTCATTTCTGAACTGTTAGGAAGAGAATGAATGCTACAAGGATAATTTCAAGATGCCATTTGTTGAAAGATACCCTGATGTCAGAGATGATAAATGTGAAAACATACATTTGGAATTAATAAAATACAATAGGTAACATGTAGTCAAGAAAAAAAAAAGACAAGAATATAGACGTATATAAAATTGTCTTCTGCAATGCTGTATTTCAACTGATACTTTACCAGAAACAAATTATAAAGGTTTAAACAGTGCTTAAAATAAATGTGAAGGGGAGAGATAACAATATTTGCTTGTTTGGATTATTTGTTTGTATGTTGTCTATTTGAATTTTCGATAAAGTGTTTTTTTACTAGAATGCTGAGTAGAATTTATGAGGCCTAAACTTTTATTCTCCAGACTCACATACCACCTCATAAATCATTACTAATTCAAAATAAGCTTGAGGGTGGGGTGGCGGTACTTCTACCATGGCCTCTGGAGTGCTCCTCCCATTTCATTGATTTTTTTACTGAAAAATAAAATAATTAGTTTATCTTTATGAATGTAATTAAGAGACTAATTCAATAATAGTTATATCCAGTCTAGAGTAATGATCATGTATTCTATTATATTTTGAGTAACATTTTGGGGGGAATACTAATATTGCAGAGACAATGCATATGTGTTGGAGAGACAATGCATGTGTGGCAGCAGGGAAAATATGGTAAATACTTCTCTCAATTTTCTTGTGAACCTAAAACTGCTCGAAAAGTAAGTAACAATAACAATGTATAATAATCATTTATACAAAAGGAACAGAATAAAATAACAGAAAGACTTTTTTTCAAACTCATCTTGAACATTATCTGAAGTGGGTTTCCCACAGTAGGCAATAGAGTATAACCATTTCTTAACTTCTTAGCCATTTCATTTCTTTTGCTCCAACTACTAAAAGTGCTCTGACATTTCTGTGATTGAAGTATGACTATCAAGAGTAGGTGAAGAGCATAAAAAGGCTTTTTTTTTTTCAAATTGCCAGAGGGTGTGTGTGCTCACTAAAGAGAGTGATGGAAAGGCAGAGAGAGAGAAATGGAAAGACCACCCACCAATAGGTGTGTGGTTATGTCTCAATCTCTACTCCTCCATTTCTCCATCTTCCAAGGAATTTGAGCACACTTGCACGAGCACATGGTGTTTTCAAGTTGCCAAGGGGTGGTATTCAAATCAAAGTATGCCATGTGAGATCTGGCTCCCTTAACCACTAAGCCATGGGGTCAACCCAAGGGCTACCTTAGCTTGTTCTTTTTGTAGTGATGCAACATTAGTGATCTCTGACTTCCAGCATTTTAATCTATCTTTTTTTTTTCCCCCAAAAGGGAGGAGATCTTTTATAGCTATGCCTCCTCCCACCCTCAGCTACAAACCCCTCTTTGCAGGCTTCCAGTAAGCGGTTCTTTCCTTATTGGCAAATATCATGTATGTGGAGTTATATTTGAATCTTCTTCTTTAGAGATTTGTTCTTATACCAGGCAATCTGTAAAAAAGATACAAGTAAACTCCATGTCAATTCTGGCTTTTGCTTTACTACACAGTGGGCACATAAGGAAAATATAAGTGAATCTTTTGACTTAACATACCCAGAAGGGCAGGCCAAATCCAGAGAGGCAACCTCTCATCACAGTGAATTTGTGCTGATCAACTATACTATTTACTTAATGGATTCGATCAGTCTTAGCACCATTTACTAAGTAGTTCCATTGAATCAACACTCTACACTTGTCTGAAGAAGTCGGGGTAAGCAGGGCTCATTGTAAGAACTCTTTTTAAACTTATTCTCCATTTTCCAACTTTATGCTCTCCACTTTCAAAACATCTTTTGTTGGAATAAAGCTAAGAGTTTTCCAACTAGTTCTATATCACTTTTTGTTTGTTTTCAAATACATGGAAATGCTTGGCTCTTCCTCCTTTTGGGGCTCAGTCAAAACCAAGAAAAAAACAGCATCTTAAACATACTTGCATGACTTGTTTTAGGATTTGTCTGTAAAGTTTATCATTTATAGAAGTTATCTTCAAAACAGTTGCAAATGTTCAATTTCAGGTTTAAGACTTAAAATTAAACCTAAGACAATGTTTTATGTATTTTGGGTTTTTTTTAGCCAGGAGTACAAAATATTTCAGATATATGTGCAAGAATGTCAGGGGCCAGTGAGTTTAACCAATATGACTTATGAGCTGATGAAAATGTGCTTATATTTATATTGAAACAATTGGATTAGATATTTTAAAATACTCAACTATAAAACAAAGGCAACTTTCCAGATTTTATATTTATATTGATAAAGGAATAATTATGTATTCAATTTATGACGGAATTATATGTCTATGATCAGTCTGGAACAATTGTATTGAGTATAGAAAAGAAAATGATTAGGTTGTCAAGAAAGTCATAACATTGTTTTCTATGTTTGTCTGTGCAAAAATGCGTGATGATTTTCCCGACACCATAATACAAAATCACATTATGTATGTTAATAACTTCACTATTATAGCAGCAATTTTATGCACATAAAAAATAAACATTGGTTGACTCTCAAAGAATATGCATGGTTAAATATTTATTTAGAGAAAAATAAAACGTAGGTTTAAGTACAAAAGTTTCTTCAAATATGTATTTTAATAAAAAATGTGGTTTACCTTGTATAAGAGGACTCCAAAAATTATGTGAGGAAATGAAATTAAAGTACAAGTTTATTTTGGTCCCTTCCAAATTTGAAATGTATAGATTTTTTATAATAGGCATTAGCCATGAGTGTTTAGAAGACTTCCTCGCATTTCTTAATCTGTAGAAATAGTACATTCTCAAATCCAAATTGTAAGGCAAAATACATGAAGGTGTTATGTGGAATTTGTTGTTAATAATAACCATAAAGTAATATTTCATTTTTTAAAAATGTATTTATTAGGAGGGTCAGAAATATTTTAAATGCTTTAATCAGACCCCAGTACAATCTAGTAGTTATTTCTTCTGAACTCTCTAAAGGAAATACATGTTCTGGAAAGAGGAAACAAAGTATGAAATAAAATTAGCATGTTGATGATGGTTGGTGAATTCTAGTAATATTTCATTTTTTAAAAATGTATTTATTAGGAGGGTCAGAAATATTTTAAATGCTTTAATCAGACCCCAGTACAATCTAGTAGTTATTTCTTCTGAACTCTCTAAAGGAAATACATGTTCTGGAAAGAGGAAACAAAGTATGAAATAAAATTAGCATGTTGATGATGGTTGGTGAGTTCTAGACCAAATGGTTGAATAAGTTGCTTTTCTGTTTGTTCTTTTGAAGAGTTTTTTGTTTGTTAGTTTTGGTATGGAGAGAGGAACTGTTTTCACAAAAATGTTTTTGCTTTCTCCTAAGCCCACATATAAGAAAGCCCACATTTGAATTTTCCATTCATAGAAAAGAAAAGAAGACAAGCTATTAAAATGTGGTTAATTTAAGCTGCTTAGGCCAGAACTTTATACAATATGGATAGCTACTTACCCAGTGACATCTTAGACCTGGGCAATAATAGTATTGGGCCAACTGCCAAATGAGAGAAGATAGAAGAGGTTTTAAACCAGGAAAATTAAAACAAACAAACAAAACCTTTTCAAATTTGCTTTGAGAAGTCTCAAAAGTTTTTATCAATCTAGTCACATGGAAAATAGAGACTCAAGGGGATGACACAGCCTTGCACACTCCAACGTTCAACCCAAGCAGTGACTTCATCCACGAGAGAGAATAATGGTCAATAAAATGTCTTTCAACTGGAAGGAACAGTGTTACTTGGTAGAGATGGTGTCCTTACTTGTCACTGAGATGGAGGACAGAGAGGAAGCAGGCAAATGGGAAGCCCTGAGAGCCCTTGGAAGCTAAGAGTTCTTTTGATGTTTAGTGGGACATAAAATGTTAACCTCCTTTGTATATGTCTAGAGCAGAATTAATTAGAATTGCCTAGAAATAGTAAGAGAAACAACTGAATGTTAATTTGTATTAAGATAGTATTGTTATATATTATCTTTACATGTGTAGTCACATTTTTTAATTAGCTTTGAGGAATTTGTGAAGTGAGGTTTAGTGGAATTGGTGTAGCAATCATCAGTAGCAATATCCTCACTACTTCATTTCTCTTCTTGGTCTTCAGTGTAGTTTTCTGTTTGTGGTTTGATAATTCTTATATAACCATGGTTTTATAGCACTAAAATAGAAACTATAGATACAAGTATGGTCTGTAACATTACTAAGTAACATGTGTTATGCCTGTATGAATTTTTATTGTGTTCAAATATAATGTTTCTCATTTGAAAAAGAATCACTGGGCCAGAAGATGGTATGGTGGTTAAAATGTTGACTCTCACATAACTGACACCATGATTCGAGTCCCGGACCCAGCAACTTGAAAAACACTCTAGGCACATATGTGTGAATGTTCAATATTCTTATAGGATAATGGAGGAGAAGGGATGGAAACATGGCCATTCCCCCTTGGAAGTGACTTCTCACTTTCCCTCTGTCTTTTTCTGGCAAGCACACCTACCCTATAGCAAAAACCTTAAAAAAAAAAAAGAAAAGAAGAAAGAAAAATGAAAATATGTACTCATCTCTATAGTAACTGTTTTCATTATGCAGTGTCCTAAAATAAATTAACATTTACAAATTAAGCAATAATTTACAAGATTTGTAAATTATGTTTATATAAGTCTTTACAGTCTTTATTAGACCGTTTATAATTCTTAGGCCACTAATTTGTATATACTATAGACATATTTTATTTTTCT